TCTAACAGAACTCAGGCTCGAAACGCGGCAGCAAAAGCTATCACCCAGTCTGAGGATCTGACTCCAGCAGGATACGACTGTCAGGGTTATAAGTCTGGGAACAATAAAATTGAAGCGGCTATTTAATCGTACAATATCAGTTAAAAGAGTTAGGATAAGGAACGGATACAATCAATAGCAAGCTTATTAGGATTGCCAGATGTTCGGAATAGAAAGTTACGTAATGCCAGGATTGTGGAAACGGTTTAGCATTATGGTCTCCCAGACTCCAAAGCGGCAGCTGTTATTCACCTAAGACGCTCAGTGATTTCGTTATTGCCATTCGCTGCAACTTCATGGGACTAGTCTAATAAGAAGTTTAGGGTTTGGCAGCTGATTTGGCATAGGTTCTTGGTTTTAGCATTGTTCCTGCGATTTCTATAACTGTTATACAACTGAGCAGTCCCATGAGACAAGGTCACAGTGCGCCCCTTGAGCGGATCAACCAAAATTGCTAACTGCGACTCATCTATCGACGGTTGAATTTCGGAGACGGAGGCTATTGTTAATAACAGCATTGGTAACAAGAAGTGAGCAATGGGCTTCGTGACGATATTAGAAGTATGGAAGTATCTCCAAGCGACATCCAATTTCGCCCGTATTTAGTAGATAACAATCCGTTACATGAACATGATAGAAGTTCCCTTGGCTTTTTCGGCGCATACTTAGGTCATCTGCATGTCGCGTACTATGCATAATCTTTATCATTTTCGATCCCGATTATGACGCGATGGTTTTCTTTTCATTTTCAGTTAATGGTAGGCAAGTAAAAGACAGTTTTAAAGGGGTGCTTGTTGAAATCGGCAGCTTAATTCCATTCACAAAGTTGGTGGAATTTTGAGGAATATCATTTAATAACGGAATGTTCTGATCCAAGTGTTGACAGCTGTCAACACTTCATGATACTAAGGTCACGGGAGATGAAAGATTTAAACAGTACACACAGAGCAGTCAATATCCAAAAGAAGAAAGCTTACACCTACACCAATTAGGAAAGACTGCCAAGAACATAGTGGTTGTGAAATTGTGACTTCCACTTGAAATGGAGACCTCATTTCTGATTCCATTTTACCCTGTCCTAGTGGGAATTCTATGTAAGAATGCGGTTTAGTAGGCTTGTAAGCCGCGGATGATCAGGAAAGTGCCCTGCTTATGCGTAGCCAAGCACGGCTGACTCGTCTCTTACTACCGCAGTGAAGTGTTTAGACTATAGATGAACCGATTACGAGCATCTAGTTTTTTACCAGCCAGTCGAAGCGGGTACCGCGGGGGACCCCCGGTGACT